AATATGCCTAAAATATTATTTAATATTAAATAATATTATGCGCTTATAGGGTAGAGACTCGAATCCATTTGAAATATTTAAAAGAATGCGAAATTGAAGTGGGTTTACTAATAATATATGTGAATCAAATACTTCTCTGATGAAAATTTTCTTGGAATTTTTCAGAATTTCTACATTAAAAAAATAAATTTCAGAATTTTTCACAATCTTGTATAACTTTTAGAAAATTTCTCAGATTTTTTTACGTGAATTTTTATACATGAATACAAATCGAATGTAAAATGAATTCTAAAGTTTTCTATTTTCTCATTCCATAATTTCCGAAGAAAACTTATTATAAAACTTGAAAAAGTTTAAAGAATATTCTTTAATCTAGAAATCTTCATAAATTTAAAATTGAAAAATTCTTAAAAAATATGAGACATTAAAATTTTTTCACCAGAGTTTTCTTTATGTTTCTTATATACAGCAATATGTTTATCTTGAAAACGATCCTATCAATTACCACGTATTGTAGTGTTACGCAGTCGAGTTCTATTTGAGGCTAAATTTTGATTAGCTGCTCCGAATTCAACATCCACCATCATCATGCGCAATGAAACACCTTGTTTACGTCATGGCGCAATTTGGCGCAACGGCAATTCAGAGCAATCAGTTAGCCAATCAAATTTTCCATCAGCTTACAGTGATAATTCGTCATTGAATTTAAGAAATATGATTTGAAGGCTCTGAGGTGGATGTCATTTGATGTCACTCAATGTCATGCGGCGTACAGCTGAGATACCCAAGGAGTTAACGTAATCCGCGTATTCGCGTGTTCATAATTCAGGACACGTCGGCACCTCGCACGTCGACGTCCCGTGATATGTGATGTGCATTATTGTCTTGTGAGACGGTTATCTTTGCGACTCTCCCGTCGGGACCAAGATGCCAGAACGAATCGAGATTGGTACGTGAAATCCCGGCTTTTGTGGTACTTTCCGCTCGCGACGTACAAATCACGTTCACATTATTTACACGATGCAACATAACCTATTCTCTAAAATTTTGGGAGTGAATGTCACTCTTTTTCGAGACTAGCTCAATTTTCATTCTTTAGAGTGAGATTCCACTTCACAGAATTTAAAAAATAATAACGGGATTATTTAAAAAAATATGAGTAAGCAATCCAGGCTGTATCTGGACTTGGCTGAGAAAGGAGGAGATAAAAGGACTCAGAATAGTATATAATTTCATATCAAGGATGAAGAAAAAATTAAAATAATTAAAGCTTAGATATCTAAATAGCTTAGATAGCTAAATGACTTTCTTAAGTTGGAAACATTTTCGTTAAAAACAATGTGTAAATATTCATAATTATTGTTGAATTCTACATTTACATTTAATTATTAAATCCGATTGTTTATCTTGCAACACATTAATACATACGCATGAAATATGTATAAAATAATATATATATTTTATACATATGTATATATATAGTATCTGAATTTGTTTTATTATACATTTTATTATATTGCCAATTTCAGGTGTCATTCCAAGTAATTTGAGACACGAAGAGACTATAGTTCAAATAGCAGAAGCTTTGGACAATCTGGGCGATGCTGTCTCATATATATTTGATTGCATTGACAGGAGGCTTTCGGAGAACACACAAAGGTAAAATAAAAAAAATATCTCTTGATTTTCAGTATGACTATTGTATTCGATTGCCTTGCTTAATTATACATTTGATTGATCCAATAAAAATATTTACTAAAGAATAAATTTGTCTTTAGATTGACCAATATTAAAGAGAGAGCTAGAAAGTTAGAGGACAGATTGCACTATTTACAAACTAATTTAAATCTAAAAGCAGTAAAAATGTATTCTGCTGCTAAGTATCCTGCTAATCACACTTACAAAGAGTATCAAATAACCATACCGCCACAACACAAGCATACTGCTGCTATACCGAGCATTTACAAAAGTTGCGTGCCTATAAAGGATATCCCTGAAGCATATTTATCTTCTAATTGTAAGACGGAGGATGGTCAATATGCCGCAAATGTCAGTCTCCAAGAAAAGCTCCAATTTTATCACGTACGATCAAAGGCTGGCAAAAAAGATAATCTTGAGAATGACGTAGAACCATTCCCACCACAATTATCCTCAGTTAGTGCCCTCCTACTGTTCGATAGCATGGATAGCCCATACGAAAAAACATCCATGCGATCATCACGTCAGTCTGTCAACAAGCAGCAAATTGAGGACGCTCCAGATTCAATTGTACAACCGTGGCTTTCGTCAGAAATGGATGCGTCTTCCAGCTATTTGTATACCCCGACTCTTGGAGAGGTCAGATTTTCATATAATACAATAACTCATGTAACAATATAATTTGTCAATTTTTGAAAACATTACTTGTTTTTCAATTTTATGATTCTACGATTTATTCTTACAGAAGATTCTTGCCATTTTTAGGTTCCTCAAATAAATGTACCGCTAACGCTCCCAGATTTACCGGGCATTGTGGATGATGAGAAATTTGTGCTCGATCTTAACTCCCAAAGTCCTATCGCACCATCATCTGCGGTCACAACGCCCACCGTTCGTTTAGATCTACCGACGCCAATCAGTGACGAGAGAGACTCTCAGTCGAAGATCGAAGATAGTGCTCCACACTTGCCTGTTCTAACCGGAGCTACGACAACTGCACCATCACCTGCGCCGCCACCTCCTCCACCACCTCCTACCATAAATGCAGATAGTGCTGCAAACAACGAAAAAATCAATTTTCAAGTTATGGTACCACCGCCGCCACCACCACCACCGCCGCCACCGCCACCGCCACCGATTACAGAATCGACTGTGCCTACGTCAAATGATGGTTCGGAGAAAAAGAACAAAATACCGAATCGTCCGCCTATGACAACTACAACGGATGATCGTTCTAATTTGATGGCGGCAATACGAGACGCTGGTGGAATAGGCAGAGCGAAATTGAGGCCTACTGTACCGGACGAAAAGAAGCGTGATCGATGGTCTTCGGCTTCGGTAGGAGGTGATCTGATGGCGGATCTACATGCAAAACTAGCATTGAGACGCAAAGGTATCGCCGGTTCCACGGTAGGCGCTTTGGAGAGAATGTCGAGCTTAATACCGCCTCCTCCGAAACCAACTGAAGCGTCTGCGTCAGACAGAAATTCCGCCACTAGCGAATACGACTCTCAACCTGACACGGACGATTGGGAAGAGTGATCACTACTGTTGTGGTAATTGATAGAATAGCGTGCTATTGAATTATGGTAAATGATCATGATAAATGACAACATCCGCGCATGAAGAGACTCAGGGGAATTTTTTATTGGATAAATTCAATGAAGTAGATAAGGATAGAATCAGCTATATAGATCTGGTTATGTTATTTTTTATTCAGATCTGAAAATTATTTGGTTTTTAAAATGTTACGTTCACCCCGTAACTCTGCTAATCATATTTTTTTCTACGAAAAAATAATTTGTATAAAAATTTATATTTTGTGGATATATATAATAATTTTGATAATGCAATAGTTTGATTAAATAACATTACGCGACTGTGTTTACAAGTGAATAAATTACAAAATTTTTGAAGGGATGAGAAAAAAAATAAGTTAACAGAATAGAAAATTTTATTTTGTACGTTACATTTTCTCAGTAATTATCTATAATTATTTACTTACATTTTGTATATTGTGTACGATTTTCCTCAGAAAAAGTCTTGTACATAAAGTATATTACAAAGGTAAAATTAGTCCAAAATCCTGATTGTACATTTCCTAATATGCGATAAAGTGTACAATTATACGAATGTAACTAATGTATATATACTGTTACGTTAATAAAGTTTTATATTCAAATTGTACAATACACAATAAATTTGTAATATTAAACATATACATAAACATAATATTGTACATATACCATTGAGGCTGTTGAGCAGTCTTTCAATACATATTTAAGAATTATTAATATTACGATATATGATATGTTCGCAACATTGAATATATATTTGAAACGCTTTACAAAACAAGTTGTACACAAATATATGTTATACCCTGATGTCATACTTTCATTTGTTTCTTACGTACGTACGTGGCAAAATTAAAATCAAAATTGTCCTAATATTTTATGTATATCGCCTTGTCCTGATACTTTATGTATATTGTGAAACTTACATATTCTCGAGATATATGTGTGTACATATATATATATATATATATATATAAAGCTCCTAAGGGCAAGAATAAATGTATATAATTTATTTCTGTCGCGGTAAAATTAATCACTTTACACCTATCTAGTATGAAATGTAGTATAAGGAGAGCAACAGACCTCGAGAAATAGAATATTTTTCAAAAATTCTATAATTACATCGTTCAGTTTAAGTTATAAATTTGGCGCGATCCAGTTCAAGAATTTCATGCAAATTTCGAAGCCCATAAAACAGGCCGCATTTGCAGGAAAAGCTCGTAGCATAACGGGTACGACACCCTTATAAAGCGCCATTGGTCCCTCGTTTTTCATCAATTTAACAAATACCTCGCGTATTCCGTGTTTGTACGTACCTTCTGGTGCTGTATAATAATGTACGATAATAAATATTACATTGCATATTTATATCCGTTAATTACAACTTTAATACATTTTAATCAGAATGTTGAAAGTCTAGAAGTATATACGTACCAGTCTGTAGGCGACTTTTCAGGATATCAGGTGGCATTCCCACCAACCAGTTCGCAATGCCTGCACAACCGCCAGCCGTTATGGTAGCCAATAAGCTAAGTTTCCCATCCTCTGGAGTAAATCGTTCCTTTAGATATTCGTATGTTAAAAAGTACATTCCGCTAGCTGGAATATCTGAAAAAAAAGCATGGAGACACAGTAAATTAGAAATCACTCAAGTATCCTTGTGCGAACCAAAGATGGCATATAAACATTATGTAGAATTAATAATAGCGAGTAGATAGCGTGTGGGTTGGCAGATAGAAGGCATCCTGTTTGATAGGAAGCACATCAAAGCATATAGATAACAGTTAACAAAATCCAGTTTCCTTCGGACCAGTGTGCTGCCGCTGGTCCCAAGTATCGTGCTCCGATTCAAAATCGTCATAAAGTGAAACAACATGACATTTGTTATCTTGCTTTTCGTCATCTTGTCATTGGTACATACAAATTTTAACACCTTGTCGTGCGCTCCGTTAATAAATTCGACTTTGTTTTTTACGCAATTACTTTGTATACCTGACGCGTGTCGACACATTCAGGCCGATATTCATAATTAGTCCTTATATTTAAAATCGTCTTAAATACAGTTTTAAGATATCATTAGGCAATCACAAATCGGCATTCATAGTTAATTCTTATATTTAAGACTGTCTTAAGTACAGTCTTATGATGTCATGAACCAATCAGAGAACGACATTAATGCATCTTAAGACGTTTAAGACAATCTCAAAATAAGAACCGATTATGAATCAGTCTTAATATATTAATATACATAAAATATACTCTATACTCAAACTAGATTCAACGCTGTAAGATAGATTAAAAACCACAAGAAATTTATAAGTTCGCAATATTCTATCACAATATAAAATCATTGATTCGAATTGCGTTGTATTCAGGATCAGTGTATAGGACAAGTTATCGATATCGGTGATGTGTGGGAGATTAAATGCCCGCAGGGATGTACCTGTGAGATCCAAAAGTATTCTGACCTGTCTCTGCATCAATGGACTGGCACAAACAAAGATAATAATCAGGTATGAGTAAATGACAATCAACGTATTTGCTTCCAGATAATTTTAATACATCCTCAATCAAACAGGATATATCTTCTGATGGTGCTGATTTTAATATAAACGACAATTCAATGGCTCATGAACTGATAAAAATCGCAACATGCGTGATTGTTGACAATCCTGAAGAACTTTTGGCTAAACTTCCTTCAGATATACAGGTGACATAAAAAGCACATATAATTTTATAAGTTTATATATCCGTCATATTAACTCATCTTGGCGTTTTATCAGGTTCTGACATTACTCGAATCGGGTAGCGGAGATGTCGATATTCTTCTGCAAGCTACTACATTCCAACGATTCACCGAATTGATATCGCTAGACATTCAAGGAATAGATTATAGCGATTCCTCCATGAAAGAGACGAATAATCGTACAGAAAAAGGCGGCATTATTCTCGCATCTGATACAATGTATCCTCTAGGATCTACTTTATTATATCTAAACTTGGAACGAGTTAAATTGTCGAACTTAAATTTGCCAAACAAGGACAAGGCAAATCTGGTGATCAAGCCGATGAACTCGCAGGAAACGGAGACAGTCGATGAAAACCAGATGTCTGTAAGCAATAGCAGCCAATATAAAGGTCACAGACTTATTTTTCTGAGTCAGCAGAATAACGAAGATAAAGAAATACTGCCATATGATCTCTACAAGCAAGAATTGGAAGGCTATAGAGAAAATGTTGAACTGTTTGCTGCACTCGGTGTTTTAACACATCTAAGAATTTATGATTGTAACCTGAAAGATATATCTTGGCACATGTTCGACGGCCTCAATAGTCTTCTTTATCTTTCACTAGAAAAAAATGGCCTGAAATTCATTCCTGAATTTTGCTTTTACGGCACACCAAATTTAAGATCACTCTCACTAGCAAGCAACGAATTACTGACATTGAAAAGCGTAGATCTGGCAGGATTGCTTCTATTAGAACATCTGGATTTAAGGCAAAATAATTTAACGTTTCTGTCGGAGTTATCGTTTCCGCCTTTCCCAGCACTCGTGAGCGCTGACTTCACGGACAACCCTTTGGATTCCATTTTTCCAAGGTAATAAATAATACTATACATGATTTTTTTTCCATGATTAAATCTGAAAATTATCATATGTTCATTTCAGTACTTTTGAGATCATGAATACGACAATAAAATTGTATCTTGGAGGTACGGCATCTAAACTGAAACTGCAGAAGAATTCATTATTGGGTCTACGTCGAGCTGAGATATTACACTTGTACAATCTAGAGATACCTATATTAGAACGTTTTATCATGCAAGGATTGCCATCGTTGACACATCTTAAGATGCGAGGAAACATCTTAAGCATCGATTTTGATGCATTTGTCGATCTTACTAATTTGTTGGATCTCGATTTAAGTCATTGCCATATACAACAAATTTCTATGGATGCCTTCTATGGTTTGGAAAAAGTTAGAAGAATTGACTTATCGAATAACGATCTGGAATCTATACCGCCTGGTTTATTCACTGCTCAACAGCAGAAGGAATTGAGAGATATTATACTTACAAAGAATAAATTAACTTCGCTACCTTTAGAATTCTTTAGAAATTTGAGGTTGCCAAATAAACAAACGCGTGTACAAAATATAAGATTGGACGATAATCCTTGGGATTGTGCGTGCATCATGGTCAGCTGGAATCCTAATCTGGTAATTTATAGTTACTAACATCACTACGTGATCTTTACTGTTTAAAGTCATTTATAATGACTTAATTGTAAATAGAGAAGAATTAATATATCAGGAAATATGTTAATAAATATTAATATATTAATAATACAAAAATCATTAGTAATAGCTTTGTGCAACACTATTTTTAGGTAAACAGAAATAAGGAAACAGCTCCACGTTGTTCAACGCCAAAACGATTACAGAATTGGGGTGTATTCTACGCATTGCGCAAAGGTGGTTTACAATGCAGAAGCCCGAGGAAAAGGTACCTTCGAAAAATTTTAAAGACGAGAAACTTTGAAGAGGATAACAATATCAGTTAGCTAATCTCTCTTTTCAAATTGTACGTATCTGTCGATATACACAGAGAATTAATAAAAGAAAAATACATTCAAAATTTTTAGACCCTATCTCCTTTTCTAAAAATGATCCTTCATTTTAAGGTACATAATAAACGTGAAAATTTCCATTTTATATAATTCTTCTGATGAACTTCTATTTAGTATATACAGTGTAACATTTTTAAACATAATTTTATAAATAATATATATGATTTTTGGAAATTGTATGTAACAAAGTATGAATTATACCTCTTAATAATGTAGCACAGGTGCCTTTATAGATACTTCTGATGCCTCCTTCTCGATACAATTGCTTAGCGCAATCCAAAGGTCCACTATACTTTGGCTTCGCGTCTGCATGCTGTATTTGCAACAGACATTTAATACGTTCACCAGGTGCCATTATAATAGTCGTGAATATGCCGCTAAATGCACCAGCGTAAAACAATTGTAACGGTGTGAGTTTCTCATCTGGGACGCTCTGTTGCAGCTTCTTCCCAACACTATAGCCAAAGAAACTTATCGCAAATATAGGAGCAACGCCGGATAATGGTGCACCCATGCCTGAACAAATAACAAAAACCAATTCTAATTAATAATTTCCTTTTAAAAATATGTGTCCCTGAGATATAAATAATTTGTGAAGGTACTAACTATATCTTTACTTATGATAACTATAGACTTGGTCGTGCTACTTGAATACTATTTATACATCATGTTATATAAAGTTTTGGAAATTCTAAAATATTAAATTCTAGTTCATACAGTTGATACAATTATCAAAATGTCGATATGTTTATAGCAATAACTTAAGACTTTATACAAATATCTTTACAATTTTGATATTAAATTTGAAAAAGCCTGATGTGATATTCATGTGATATTCGGTGCAAACATAAATACCCTTATATAAACCACGTATTCCTTCTTTGGTGATTGTTTTTTTAGCACAGTCCCATGTACCAGTGTAGAGAGGCAATTCATTGGGTCGTGGAACTGGCATTGTCTGGAGCCGTACCTAAATACATGGAGCAATGTCTTACAAAACGCACATAATTCTTGTAGAAGGTAACAATATTTAGATAGAATGTAGATAAGAAAAAGAGAAGCAATATATCAATTTTACACTCAATTTTTAATAAACTGGTCAATTAAAATATAACCTCACTTTTATGGTATCCAGAGGATGGCCAGCTATCACAGTACATACTCCTCCAAATCCACCGCTCAAGAAATATTTAATAGGGCTAACGGCGTCCGACATGATTATTGTATAGAGACTGGAAGTCTATCAACAAAAGTGTCGACGAAATAACAGTCTTAAAACTCGTTGATCAAGCAGGGGTCAAAGTACAGTGGCAATTGGCCCTTGACGTAGGATCGAGATCATAAATTCCATTAATCGGTTGTGATGTTTTTCACAGTCTTTTACATAACTTAATATATAATCATATTTATATTGCAATGACATTTTAATAATAGTATGTGCAAATTAGGGACAAATTATGTTACAAACGGCTGATCTGTTCCTTCGAGCTGCATTTTATAACACTATCTGCACTCGAAACGAAGATGAATGCATAGACGAGCATATGTGTACGTGTGAATGAACGTATTTCACAATGAATGAGTGTATACATAAGGGTGCATTGGGGTATGTTCCGTTTCATACATGACGGTATCATTTTATCTTTGTTGTTCACTAAATTTTAAAGAAGGATAAAATGATACATTAGGCGCATTATGTGCAAAATGGAACGTATTCTCACATATGATTTTTCTTTTCACGTATATTGCATCATGAAATGAAAAGAGAAAAAAATAATATAAAGCATTATAAGGCATTATTTATTTGTAATATTGTTTAAAGTTATTTCGGATTATTTGGAAAACAATTATTATTTTCACGAATGTAAATCTTCAAAATACATGAATGTGTCTTTTGTATTTAATTATGTATAAATGTTCCATTATAGGTATATATAACCTATCTATTCTAATTTTAACGATTTTCTGTATATGCGCCATTCAAAAGTTAAAATAAATTTGTGATGTTTTATACATTTCTTTTCTTCTTATTATTATTTTACGACTCCTGCCAGTAGATATCAACAGAGGCAATATGGCCAGATGACATCTGCAGTAGTTTCGTAAATAATGTCAGTGTGTCCAGTAATCCTTCTTTTTAAAAACTCTTTTTAACCAGAATAGCTTCATCATGTAGGTTCTTAATCTGCAAGATTGGAGCAATCAGGTACTCCTTAAATGCAGAAAAAACTGCATATATAGGATGCAAGTAGAATCGGAACCAAAGATCCTGAGTCAACCAAACAAAGGAGCTATTTGACACCCCAACTATGCGGGAAGTTGTTTGCCATCTGTGGCAATAGTTATGTAAGGGGTGGCAAAAGAAAATAAGTTCTTATACTGTCACGTACAAGGTATATTCAGCATTTGTTAATATTATAGAATATTCTTTTTATTGAGACCACGACAACAGTATAAAGTTAATATTTTACTAACAAGAACTTTTTATGTGATACAGTTGCTGTTATTGTACCTGTTGATCTGTATGCTATATGAATTGTGTTATTTAGTTTTATTTTAAAGTATCAATTTTTATAATGCTAAATAAAAGATTCTGCAGTAAAATTCAGACGGAACTTGTTACAAAGATAAAACATTCCCTATGTGAAATACACTTGAATAGTAATTTCAATATCCTTACGACATATACCGCATATTTTCATATTACTGGCACATTCTACACACGCCAATAAATGTCCGCATGGTATAAATGCGATCTGTAATTCTCTATTAAAGCAAATTTTGCATAATGTTGCATCCTTGTTGCATGGTTTATCACTCTGTATTTGGATGGACTGTTCCTCCGTGCTGGCCTTGCCTGATACGATACTTGTTTCTGCATTATTAGTTTCTTCAAAACTAAGTGAGTTTTGAGTGCTTTCACTAGCAATACTCTCACTACCATCTTCTTCCAATCTCTTATCTAATTCATTAACTGTAGATGGCATGGTTTCCTAAAAAACAAAACAACTTAAGATTGATATTGCCTTCAGCACATTTCATAATTTTTTAAAGAGATTAAACTATTACAAATGTACAAATTGTATAATTCTAATATATTTCATTTGAAAAAAAAAAATAACAGGATAATGCTCGTTCTCTGCAAAAGTAAATAAATGCACATATATATATTTAAAAAAAAAATATATAATAATCTATAAACGAGCCAACTACCAAAGTCTTACTCTATTAAATGGCTGTTTATTTTTATATAACACATAACATAAACACATATTTCAGTATATATAAATAAATGATCACTACTATTTAAACTCTATAAAGTACTGACTAATCATTTTTGATAATAATACAATACAATATTTCAATTTCATTAGAAGCTTACTTTTTCAGTATATGTTTTCCTGGTAATGTTGTTTACAAACTCTAGTCCTTTAGTTACAAGCAAATAAGGACAATTTTTGTACCACTTGGCATGTTCTACCCAAGGATCATCCCATGTGTCCCAATCCATTAATCCTCCACCGCAGTAATAGCACAATGTTTCATCGCCATTTCCTGAGTAATAGTAACCAGCAGTTGCCAGTTCTTCTTTAGTTTGTGACATTGCTTTGGGCCATTTATCATACGATGCTAATCTGGCAGCATAATTGACATATTCTGGATATTTCGGTTTCGATGTAAGCTCTTTCAATCTATAATTCATTTGATCTCCACAGTTGGGAATGGATTTAGGCACGTTTGTCCAATTGTAAATTCCACATTCATCCATGTCTTCCGGCACAGATGGATTTGCGCTAGGATCCATACTAATTGGCACATTGCCACATGAAATATTACGAAGAAACCAACAGTTTCTATTGTATCGTTGATGATCAACCATTGGATCGTCTTCCACTTTCCATTTCCATAGTTCTTCACCACACTCGAAACATTTCACTATGTCGCTTTCACCAGTATAAAAAAATCCAGCCGCTGCGAATTCCTCGGACTTCTTCCATGAATATGGCCAGTTATGGAAACTTTTCAAACGGGCAGCCTCATACTGATAATCTAAAGAAATCATTATCAGTTTCATCTTGTTTTTTCGCAAGATTTATCATAAGATTTTATTAAATTTTGTAACATACTATTTGGTGGAAACCTGTAGTGTTCAATGCATTCAGCCATTTTTGAGATATATTTGTAAAGGTGTGTTTATGAACCTGTAAAGAAAAAAATAAATGTTAATATAAATATTTAAATCTTATCCAGTAAATTTTTAAGACAACAATTTTATTTAATTTAAACATTATTTTCATTACATATAGTAATGAAAATATCAAACAGCCCGAACATAAATTTAATGTGAGGCATAATTTCTAATCGAATTTGCTGACATATGGACAGCCAGGGACAGCTGTGTGGATAGATTATTTATCAGGTTAAACTGTACACAAACAATAGGTCTATTCGCATTGCATGCACTTTTTGCACTCAGCATCTTCGCTTTCTCTCTTTTCAACGTCCAAATATATATCTATCTCATTTTAAGTGCAAAAATATTTGAGGATTTCAAACAACGGGAACAGATCAAATAAAGCCTGTTCTTTTTGGCTGAACTTTTGCACCAGTTCACCTTTCCTCTTCTTTTTTCCTCCTAAAGAGAAAAAGAAGATGAATTGGTGCAAAAGTTCAGCTAAAAAGAACAGGCCTATAGTCAACGGACACGTAACAACGGGAACAGATCAAATAAAGCCTGTTCTTTTTGGCTGAACTTTTGCACCAGTTCACCTTTCCTCTTCTTTTTTCCTCCTAAAGAGAAAAAGAAGATGAATTGGTGCAAAAGTTCAGCTAAAAAGAACAGGCCTATAGTCAACGGACACGTAATTTATCAGAAATAGACAAATATATGTGCCTACGGTTATAACATCGGTCATAGACAAATATAACATCGTTCAGACAGCCGATTGAACTGAATAGATAAATTCTCTACCACTTTACGATTTCCATAAATTGAGGAATTAATAACGACCTGCGTGAATTCATGCGGCAAAAAAACAGTATATCGCATATGAGATTCGAGAAGATATTTATTAATTAATTTCATTGTTACGAAAATCGCAAAATGGTGAAGGATTTTTTTTTACTTAATTTAATCTTGTTACCTGCGAGCAAACAGATTATGCTTTTCAAGCATCCTAAGTGTGACTACAACTATTGTTTGTAACTATTTGTAACAAAGATCAGCCACAATCTGGCTCGTGCTATCAACGCGTAGCGCGTAGTGGAGGAAGAGTGAGGGTAGTTGCCGATAGCTACAGCTAGGCTGCGTTCGGAAATATCACCTGAGTGCCCTCGTGTATTGTTTTATCCTTGTTGTTCATCCAATGTTAAATAAAGATAAGATGATACACGAGGGCACTTAGGTGATGTTTCCGAACGCAACCCTATAGCCTACGGCTATTGGAAACTACCCCCACTCTTCCCCCACCACGCGTTACCAAGTGGTAGCGCAAGCTAGAGTCCTAGATTTATCAGAGAGAGGCGCAACCGGCTTAAGTCAGTATGACAAAGGTACTAGGGAGGGTACTAAACATGGCTGACATGCTATGAAATTGCCTTTAAACTGTCAAACAAGATAAGACAAAGTAATATAAAATTATATTTAAATGAATCGTATCAATTCTTTAGACGGAATATTTATGTATTAATAAGTCAGTTGATTAATTGTCATTATAATCGCTTTTGCGTATCACCATAACCTCTTAATTTGCACTGCTATTAACGGAGTAAAACTTTACTCGATGGTAAAGATTCTCGATAAAATTATTCCTGAAATTAAAAAACATATTATTGCATTTCTCAAATAAATAATTCTGTATGATACGTAGAAGAATTTCATATGATTTAATCTATGGAGTATTCCAACTGTTTGAAATGAAGTAATTTTAAAGTCATTTGTGATTGCTTGTTTGTAAATTAAAACAGAAATGTTTGAAGATAAGATATTGTATAATTGCAGGTACGATTGCAGTATTATGTTCTTACATTCAAGAAACATTGAAAAAAATGATAATTGTGAAGCATATATATCTACTGTTAACGAACAAGTAATCAGGCTTTCTGTATAATATCAGTAATCACAGTTTAGTCAGCATGGATACTGTTCAAGAGCAAGAATGAGATAGAGTGAGATAGAATGTATAGAATAAAATAAAATAGAAATATGTCACTAGTACTATAAATGGTTGCCAAGTCATGTGATTGCAACAGCGAATCAGATGCGTAACACCGGTTACGCCTCTCTGATAAATCTAGGACTCTAGGTTATGCGTGGTCTATCATGGCAGTTGCAATGGTGGATGAGACTATAAAGCTGGAAATACAATGAAAAGAGTCAATCATGAAACTTTTTTCCTAGGATGTGAAAAGTGAAAAATGAAAAATTTCTCCATTAACTGCAATGGTTAAAATTTTCACTTTTCACTTTCTATTCTAGGGATAAAGTTTCATGATTGATACCAAGAGCACATTGCACAGGCTAATAGGAACAGGAAATAGCAAATTTCAAATTATCAGAAACCATAGGTTTGTTCGTGTCGCATGCTCTAACATGTTCCAATATGCTCCTACCATAGCTCTTACTCACTCCAACGCGCTTGATAGAGTGAGTAGAAGTTATGGTAGGAGCATGTTGGAGCATGTTAGAACTTACTACGAGAATAAATCTAATAGGTCTGTTCGCGTTGCGTGAAATCTCCAAATATTTTTGCACTTAAAATGAGATAGATATATATTTGGCCTTGAAAAGAGAGAAAGCGAAGATACCAAGTGCCAAAAGTGCAACCAACGCGAACAGACCTATTGGCTGCGTTCAGCAGACTCAACAGTTTTGCAACCGTTTTATGATTGTCTGCTGAGATAGGACCATTCTTCTAGATCTAAAAGTATGATCCAATCAGCTCGAAAGAAACTTCCAACAGTTGCAAAACGAACGTTCTGCTGAACGCAGCCATGGTAAGGCCGAAATCAGACTACGCATTGAATATTGGCTACGTTTACATCGTGCATTTAGGCCGCGGCCTATACAATAGATATCCTTGTTTATCCTGTAGGTTAAACAAAGACACCTATTGTATAGGTCGCGGACTAAGCGTACGGTGTAAACGTAGCCAATGAGATTGAAGATTGAAAGGTTGAAATTTGACCAATCAAAACAATAGGAGTTACAATTTCTTTGTCCTCACTGGTCAAATTTCAATCTTCAATCTTCAACCTCAAACTTCAATGCGTAATCTGTTTCCGGCCTAAATATACTAGAATGAACGCTTTCTGATAGGTTGAAATCTTTTATTACTTATGCTGAGCTCTTGTATCTGTTTGGTCTATATTTTTAGTTCTAACGGAATATGCCAATCAGATGCAAGAGCTCACTGAGCGCTCAGTGAGCTCTTGTATCTGTTGGGTCTATATTTTTAGTTCTAACGGAATATACCAATAAGATACAAATACTCACTAAGCGCTCAGTGAGCGGTCATAGTACTGAATGCACCCATGTGTTTCCGGCTTTATTCTCTGTTCTCTACAGGGCCCCTATTCTCGAAAAATATCGCATACTAAAAACTAGGGAAATACTAGTATGCGTTACACATACTATAGCATTTCCCTTGTTTTTCGTATGCGATACTTTTCAAGAATAGGGGCCCAGGGGATCGATTATGTATCTCGAAATGAGGTGAAAATTACAAAAGTGAGCAAATTCACTAAAATATTCATAATTTAATTGGTCAATAACTAGTGAATATGCTCACTTTTGTAATTTTCACCTCATTTCAAGAAACACAATCGACTCCCTGTTCTTGTTCTCTATTTGCGGAGCCCCTTACTGCTCGTCACCATATTTGAGCCATGATTTCTTCCATCATGATTTGCGTGAGAAATTGATCAAATATGGCGATGAGCATGCGAAAATCTGCGCTCTACAAATGCAACGTCTCTATCTTCACATTTTTAGTATGCGACAGCTGGCGACACGTTGGCTTCTTTTATGCAAATGTAGATGTTACAGTTTTGATACAATTGAATATGTAGGTTTGTAAACGTATAATAATTATTGATGTTTGACACGTTGATGAATGCATGTCATTGAGCTGGCTCTCAATTGTCTCAGTTTCTTTTTTCCGACAAAAGGTATCGTACATTTCATTTATTTATCAGAATTATTAGCTGAAAATGAAACAGGTTAGTTCCGCGTTAACAAATTATGCAGCGGCTAAATTACCAATTTGATTTATTTTCGAAATAATACGCAGCGTTGACAGAATTTTTAAAAATATGTTAGAGCTCCAAAAATTAAAAAACAGTATTAAATAACATGTTTAAATTTTTAGATATATAATTTGAAGAAAATGAGGATTGTGCAATTTAGAAGAAACCGCTTGTTCCACGTATTAATTGGCAGTACTCTAACACTGTTAGTTTTGTACATTCTTCTTAATTTCTCCTCGGACGATCATATGAACAATATAAAAGAATATTGGTCACAAGGTCGTGGAAAGAGACAGGTAAAATACTTATTTTTAATTAATATATATTAATTAATATTAATTTATTTTATAAATATCTATGCTAAAAAATTTTTTGTTAACAATTTTTTTGATACTTTCCATCCTTATACGTGTTAAATATACTTTTCATCAAAAGACACAAATGACATGGTGAATTTTTTCATCTTTATTTAATATTGGCAAACAAGATAATGATTCACTGTTATATTGTATCATTTGTACCTCTTGTTGGGCAGCATTCTCTATATCTCTTTTTAACATTATGCAGGTACCAGTACTCATAGAAGGTTTAGGAAATTATGAGCCACGAGATGTATCAGTTAGATCCGGTCCTGGGGAAGGTGGTAAACCACATATTTTGAGAGACGATCAGTTGAACGATGTCCAGCAATCGGAATCTGATTATGGTATGAATATGGTGTGCTCTGATGAAATCTCATTGTCGAGATCGATACCAGATACCAGACTCGCACAGTAAGTCCTATCGTCCTATCTTGTACAGCTAATAATATTAGTGTTTGATCTACCTTGTAATTTCCATGTTTTTCTTTATATAATATAGATGTAAGCATTGGAACTATCCAGAAGAGCTACCACGTACTAGTGTTATTATAGTTTTTCATAACGAAGGTTGGTCTGTTTTACTGCGAACTATTCAGAGCGTTATAGATCGTACTCCATCAAAGCTACTTGAAGAGGTTCTTCTTGTTGATGATTTTTCTGATAAAGGTATATTCTTTCATGCAATGCTACAATATTTGTACTTGAAGTATTCGATAGTTAACATATATGATAAATAATACAATTCTTTTCAGAGAATTTAAAAAGTGATTTAGATTCCAATATTGAACAATGGGGAGGAAAAGTTAGATTACTTAGAAATCATGAAAGACAAGGTTTAATACGAACGCGATCTCGAGGAGCACGTGAGGCCAGAGGTGAAGTAATAGTATTTTTAGATGCTCATTGCGAAGTCAATGTGAATTGGCTGCCTCCGCTTTTAGCGCCAATTGCTGAAAATAGGTAAAATAATTTACATTGAAAATTGGAAGAATATCGATGTTTTTGTAATTAGAAAAAAAATTGAAGTATCAAATAGAAAGTACGATAATAGAATAATATAATTTTGCAATACTTTTCTTCTAAACCATACATTCCTTTTCTTCTAGAAACGTAATGACTGTTCCTGTGATAGACGGAATTGATCATAAAACTTTTGAATATCGTCCTGTGTATCAAGAAGGACATTTGTACAGAGGAATATTTGAGTGGGGAATGTTGTATAAAGAGAACGAATTACCCAGGCGGGAAGGCAAAACGCGTGCACATGACAGTATGCCGTACAGGTACAATTTCTATTTCTACATATGTAGTCTTATTTAGTTTGTTCGATATTTCTCTTCTCCAGAGTATTATTTCATTCACATACGGCTTACAGATCACCTACGCACGCTGGTGGTTTATTTGCCATAAATCGACAATACTTTTTATCATTGGGTGGATACGATGAAGGATTACTCGTCTGGGGAGGAGAAAATTTCGAATTATCTTTTAAGATTTGGCAATGTGGTGGAAGTATTTTGTGGGTTCCGTGCTCACATGTTGGGCACGTTTACCGAGGATTTATGCCTTACACATTCGGTAAACTTGCTCAGAAAAAGAAAGGACCATTGATAACTATTGTGAGTTGTATCATCTATAGATACATCAATATATATATCTTTATCGAAAAAAAAAAACAGTTATAAAATGAATTGTTTTTATAGAATTATAAAAGAGTTATAGAAACGTGGTTCGATGAGAAACACAAAGAGTTTTTTTATACCAGAGAACCTCTGGCTCGATTGCTCGATCACGGTGATATATCCGAACAATTAGCTTTTAAAAAACGCAAGAAATGTAAGAGCTTCCAATGGTTCATCGATAATGTAGCATATGATGTGCTAGATAAATTTCCAGAATTGCCACCGAATGTTCACTGGGGAGAGGTACGTTTGACTAAAAGCATAAAAGTGCATAAGTTTAAGTTTCCTCAACAAATTTTATACATACTTTTTGTATCAACAATGACAATACTTTTTTAGTTACGTAATACGGCATCTGGATCATGTTTGGATACTATGGGTCACTCGCCTCCAAGTCTTATGGCTACTTCCCACTGTCATGGGTTTGGAAATAATCAAGTAATTTTTGCAAATATTTAATTTTTTATTCTTAATATAACTTATTAATTTCTTTATTCCATTTCTTTATTATCTCTATATTTCTAATATTCCTCATTACTCTTTAATATATATTTCTTATTAGCTTATCAGGCTGAACGCTAAGGGTCAATTGGGTGTCGGTGAAAGATGTATTGATGCAGACGGCCAACGTATAAAATACGCATTTTGTCGTCTGGGAACTGTAGACGGTCCATGGCAATACGATGAAGTAAGTTTATTATTTTTGATAAGAAAAATTCTTAACAGATAACAAAAATCTTACACGAATGTTATCAATATATGTTAATTCGTATTTGCAGAAAACAAAAACATTATTACATAGAGTATATAAAAAATGTATTGCACTTCATCCTCAAACTCAACAGTTATCTTTAATGCCATGTGACATAAACAATGCTTATCAGCAATGGAGTTTTCATCAAGTCCATCCAAGATGGTAATATGGAAAAGAGAGACTTTTCTATTTATCAAAATTTGTAAATTATTTAAAATTGTATGCAAGAACAAAATTTATTTAGTAATATATAATTCAAGATAGTTTAACACTTATTTGTGACTAATTCACTATATATTAGAAAGCGATATAAATAAATAATAACTACGAATATTGACATAAACATCGAATAAATATTTAAGAACAATAATTTTGGATCTTAAGATATATTAAGGTGAAAGTTAGGAGGTTAAGCACTTTATGAAGTGCAAAAAGTGCATTTCAACTTTAATGAACTTTTTCAAGTGTTTCCTACATTTAGAAATGTACATATGTCGTCTATATTTAGATATTAATTAAAATTAAAAAATTTAATTTAATTTAAAATTTAATAAAAAGGCATTTGGATATATAATTTTTTAAACAAAATTATCTCATTTAAAGCATGTTGCCTCCTCTTTACACCGACTGATAAACTGTAATGAGAAATTAATATTTAATAACATTTATATATATATATATATATAGGAAAGATTTACACATGTGCAAAATATTTTGATATATGATGTTCCCATTGCTACTGCCAAGATTTTGTCTAATATTTCTAATATGAATTAATTTATAAAAATTTTATTTAAATGTCTTTTTAATTTTTGAAAAAAAATTCCTAGCTAAGTTGAGATAATGTTACTTCTATATCGTTCGATAGCTAAAGATTGACATAAAACGTAGAAATTGATACTTCTAAATGAAAATTGTAATTTATATTGATATTATATATACGTCTGCGCGTGAGCTTATGCGAGAATGTGTGTAAAAATTTATACATAAATGAGAATATGTACATTCCAGAAAATTGAAATACTATGACATACTTATAAGATATTTTTATTTTTATATACCAGTGAATCAAGTTCTTCATTGCTACTGTAAAACATTTTATACGTTTAATAATTTTTTTTTTTAAGAAAGTATAATATAAAAATAGTATAAATATTATACAAATATTACTAAAATGAAACGATTAAAAATTAATAATATATAAAAAAATGTTCTTTTATATTTTTTTTTGTATAATGAACAGTTTGTGTTAGATTTTTTATCTTTTGACAAAAATTGGAAGAAGTTTATATTCTTTGTTATCGTTTTATAAAATCGATTTTACATAAAACTTTATTTGAGGTTGAAACGTCAGTACGAGAATATAATAGCTACATACAGTTATGTAAACATCAATTATTGTAATTAAATACAATAATTTATACACTAATAACTGCTCATATACACTTTCTTTATTTAATTATTCGAAGGGTTTTACTCACTTAGTTTCAATAAAATTTTATACTTGTTAATTGTTTGTTTCAGATCTATGTCTCGCGTATATTTTTAATAAAAATTTGTGTTTATTTTTATTAGATTTTACTATGCTTTTAATTTTTATTGAATAACGAACTATTGCTACTAAAAAAAAAACGATTAGCACGATATTGCGCATATTTATCTGCGATGTATGGAATGGGATGATTTCTTTCATCGAGGATTATGATTCCAATATGTACAATTTTGAGATTTCTAATGCAGCTATCGTATAAATGTACTTAATAACATTTATAATTAATTACATTAATGATCATTACAATCCTTCAGGATTTAAAAGCAATATAAATGTGATTATGCAGTTAATTTTTGATTTATAAGATACAATATATTCCAATTTAAATATATATTTTTTATTATATGCAAAATGTACTTAATGTTTAGTTATACTTAACCAAAACTCTTGTGTATGAGATTGTATTTCGATTAAATCGTTAAAAAGATCAATATGTATGTATTATGTATGTCTTTTTTAAATATATATTAATGTTTACAAGATCTCCCAAAAATTAATTACCTCTTCCTTTTAATAAATCAGAAAAAAATTTAAAGATTTTTTTCATTAAAGTAAATAATACAATTTTATAATGCTCTTATGTTTACAGTGTGAAAAAATAAATACAAATTATATGTTCCACAATGAAATGGTTCAACATTTTTTTATTATTCAGTATTGACAGTATGTAAAACTTTTGCAAAAAGCATATACAATTAATCGTTAATGTATAGACTTTCATAATCAATGAAACAAATGTGATGAATGTGTGCACAAATCTGTAACGAAAATGAAAAATCATATTACAAAGATAACGAAAACAAAGTACTATGTATTGTTAATTATACTTACTACAAGTACGGAAACAATTTTAAATCACGTCTCATGATTTATTGAAACGTATTGACAATGTCATCAATCTTCAATATACTGCGTACAGTTTCAGAAGCAAGAGTTATTGAACTAGTAGAAACTAGCAGTGGTTGAATCACGTTCTCTTCCAATATATTAGTAATGGCGCCTTTCCGAACGTTAATCCCTGCAGTTACTTCGCCCTTCGCGTGTCGATTGCGAAGTTCAGTTACTGTAGCTATCGGATTTAAACCCGCGTTTTCGGCTAACGTCGACGGAATCACCTGTGATTTATAAATTACAAGATTATTAAGCATCGTATTAATTGTTCCTGGCTATTACGCATCAATTCGATTTGGAGTAAAATATTTTTTGGATGCTAAATATTTTTTATGATAGAACGATTGCCTATCAAGCCAAAGATTGAGAGCTACTTTTGCTATCCGCGCGTTCATAGAGAGAATAATATTATAAAGAATTTTGAATGAAAAGATATTACTGTGATAAAAATAAGAATAAAAAAACAATACCACCAAGATAACTAAATAAATCGGTTGTGATAATCCTTTTTTAAAGGATAGAAATTTAAGTAACATGAATAAGGATTTTAAAATAAAATCTATCTACAAACAACTATAGACTGCACTTAAAACACTAACCTCAAGCGCATTTGCAAAGGCCTTGATGCAATATGCATTAATTCCGCCTAAGGTCACTGCATATTCTCCCAATTTTAATGCCAATTCAATTTCTGGTGCTCCACCACCAGCAATCAGCGCTCGTTGCTTCACTAAACACCGGATGACGCACAAGGCATCATGTAGTGATCTTCCAGCTTCCTCTAATACTAATTTGTTGCTACCACGTACAAGGACTGTAACTGTTTTTCCATGATTTTGGATTCCTGTGATCTGTATAAAAATGTCAATTATATAAAACCTATATGTTATAAAATACATTCAACTACAAATGAAAGAAAGATGATATTATATACTGTAATAATTCATATTTTTCTAAGCAAAGGAGACGCACCTTAACAAATTTCGAATTTCCAGTTTGAACTTCTTCACAGAGCTCCGCATTGACAAGATTTTCAGGCACAAAATGATCCAGCGACGCAATTGGTCTGCAACCTAGCGTTTTACACACAAAAGGAATGTCCTCGCGCTCCACGTCCTTTATCACCATGACCTTAATTTTGTCCAAGAAATGTATCGCAAGATCGCTAACAGCGTCGCGCAAGACTGATTTTTGTACGAGAAGTACATTGCAACCAGTTTTCTTGATCTGTTTTACAATGTTCAATATGTAGGCACGTTCCTCCTTCAAAACACGATCCATCGCTGCGTAGTCCGATACAATAACATTATGATCCATCTAGAAAATACAAGAAATTGATTATCCATCTATGTAAAAGATTAATAGAAACAAATACACATGTATCACGATACTTACATCGGTTTTCGGTGGTGAAATGCAAAATTGAATTAATCCAATTTTAGCTTTTTCAATGCGTTTCGGGCCATTAACATTACAAGATTTTTGGGTAAATATTAATCCATCTACTAACTCAGTGTCTTCGACAGTTCCTCCTAACTTCTTTATCACTTTGACGTCCTATAAAAAAACATACATTAATAAATTCATGTCAATACATTAATCTGCTAAATAATATACAATTTGCTCTCACATTTAAGTCAACTGACACTTCCTTTCCTTCTTCAGTAACCTTTAATACGGCATCCACTGCGAGTGGTGCAAGAAGACTAGATTGTTGATGCACAACCTAAAATATATTAAAACAAATATTAAAAATTATGATATATATATATATATATAAATATATAATTTTAGACTCAATACAAAACCTGACGATCAAAGTATATTATTAACATTATTATCAAATGCATTATTAGACATACCTTGGAATTAAGAGATGTTGCTGCAACCTTTACAAGAGATTCTTTATCTGTTAGGTCAACAGGTATGGACATCTGTGTCAAAATTGATACTGCTTTAGATGCTGCTTTCTGAAAAGCGTCGCTGATCGAAGTAGGATGAATGCCTTTCTGCAACAAACGTTCCGCTGCTTCTAACAGTGATCCACCTATCACGACGACACTCGTAGTACCATCACCAGCCTCTATATCCTGAGCTTTTGACAACTCGACGAGCTAAACATAGGATATATAAACTGTAATATAAAATTTCATGAAATTTAAAGCAAGGGAAATTTATTTCTCACCATTTTTGCAGCAGGATGGATCACGTTCATTTCTTTCAGGATAGTGGCACCATCATTTGTGATAGTAACTTCTCCATTACCAGCTTGAATCTGTTATATTTAAATATATACAAAATAAATTAGTATTATGTACATAATATAGTATTATATACACAACTTTGTCAAATAAAGAATAATGAATATAGAATTTACCATCTTGTCCATCCCTCTAGGTCCAAGACTTGTACGAATTGCATCGCTAACAGCTACAAAAAATAATTAATATATAATATTATATATACAATCAAATCATAGAAGCTAAATTAGTGTTGTAATTTGTTTAGCTTACAAATAATAATAAATGTCAAGAATCTATGACAAAGCAGCTAACAATTGAAGGGCTTACTACAATAGTGAGCTACATTTAAAAAAAACGGAGTAAATAAACTCTAATGGATTTTCTACAATAAACTTAGAGTTAGTCACTCGTATCATGCTAGTGATAGTCAAAATTATAAATAGGATCATAAATCTAAAATCTTACATTCAAAATACATCACGTTATGGCTCGTTGGATCGTTATGCCACAATATTTCAGTCAATTATAAGGATGGCAGT